AAAATCACTTTCACAACAAGCACTGCATTGGTGAAATTCCGTTACGAAATACAACACGAGAGGGGATAGGTTCTCCCTGTGTCACACACTCTCCCATGCCATGCCGTGTATCGGCCGACCTCTGTTGGTAGCCGTTCTCACGCTCAGGCTCCATCAGCTTTCTCATTAACGTCGCTTAAAGTGCGGAGGTTACACCATCTGGCCCTGTGTGCTGACCAGGTGTGCATGTGACAGCGAGGCATCCTGCCATCTTAACAACACTCGGTAATGGCGTAGAGCGGGGGAGAATGAGCTCACGTCTGTGCCGCGACTGTCTCGGTCAGCCCAGTGGTCGGGTCCCCGTTTCATTCTCAATAGCATGCGTGCATGTCAACAACGACTTAAACTCAGACAGCAGCGCCTGGCCTGCTTCTTGCCAGACGCTCTTTCGAGTAAGTCTTCCCCTTCTAGTCCCAAACGGGGGTGACCTTGACGGAACCGTGTGAACGAAGGAGTCTCCTTTTATTTCCCGTGCGCAGGTCTCCCGCATACGCCTTCACGGAAGCAATCAGCTTCGTTAGTTGACGGGTCGGGAACTGGCTCCACGCTCTGCATCAGCCGCATTAATTGCGCTACACACAACATGCCGCTAAAGGCTATCTCATACTAACTAGCTTCATCGTGTCTTTTTTGTGCGCCTGAGGATTGTGAACGTGAGTAGCGTAATTAGTATCTTCAGCTGCATGTTGTTCAGAAGAAGTTACTGTGGGCTGAAAAAAGAAAATATCCGAACCTTAAAGGAAAGCTTACAGACTTTCATAAGCAACTTGGTGTACATTGTCTTTGTCAAGATTGCGGTGTGCAACGGAAGCGTGTCCAAGAGTGATTGCAAAGCCAGTAAAACAGCCTCTAAAAAGGTGAACAGCCAGAATAAGTTTTCTATTCTTTGAAAGAAAATTATGCTTGTCTCTTCCTCTTTATTTTTTTCTAATCAGGAAAGTAGGGTCATGCTACAATTTTATTGTTAAAATAGGGTAGCAGTTTATACATGAGCATAATTATTATGAACTTGAGGAATCAAGTACTGATTGGATTAGTCTAAATATGCTACTATTAAGGGGGGAGGCTACCCTGGAGACCGAACTTTTTTATTTTTTAAGATTGATTGATTTGTGGGGTTTAACGTCCCAAAACCACCATATGATTATGAGAGACGCCTATTTTTTTTTTTTTTAAGATATCTGGATGAAACTTTCAGGGGTTGTTCACTACAATAAAACTAGTGCAACTGCTAAGTTTCACGAAGCTGTGTTTCTTAGTTCCAGAGTTATTGAGGTTTAACTGGGTGCTTCACAAGGGTGCCTGAGGAAGAGTCGTGAGAAATCCCAGGACATAGTAGAAAGCTGAAATTCATTGTGGTCATTCCTTGATAGCTATCCCAGGGCGCTACAAAGCCGTTTTTTTTAATTCCCCCCCCCCCCCCCCAAATTTTCACGCAACTTTGAATTTGATGTAACCAGTAATGACCAGATGCATCAAAAATTAATTGTTTATTATAAATTAACAGCACCAATTTTCAAAAAAAGGAGCATGTTACGGCCTTGCAAGGTCATTCAGGAACAGAATAAAAAAAACGGCACACAAATCTGATGAAGGGTTTTCGAGTTCTTGCTTTCCTCAGCACCACAACTAGCAAAAAAATCCGTTCTGAGAAAACAGGCCGAGAAAGTTCAAAACCCGTGTTTTCTTCAAAAAGCTCCAGCACAGTAGCTAGAAGTGTCCTGGCGCACTCTTTTCTTCTTTTGCCTGGCCTGCATCTTCTCTTGGTGTCTTTTAGAATTCTTTTTTAGGTGTAAAGCGTCTTTTTCACGAGCTCGCTGGATGGCCAGATGACCTGGTTGAAGTCCAATGGAGTCCGATATCACTTATATTGCTTTGCAGCAGCCGGCATTGTAGCGCAGCACTGCTTCATGCAGTGCTGTTTCTACCGCGATCAAGGATGAGTGTTGTTCCTTCGGCATCAGAGACCACAGAATGGAGTGGAATGATTCTGATGCATTTTGCGTCTTCGCTCCCAGGCAGCGCTGAAGAAGCGACTTTTGTGACAGTCTTTCGTAGATGGGCAGCATAGCTGCAGCGACATAGTCCGGTAGGCTGTGTTTATGTTTGGCTGTGGCTCACGCTTTGCCTCTGCAGCTCTATGGCGGCACCACGATTGAGCCCCCTCTGGGCAAAGTTCATGGTGAGGGTCCTGGTCAGTCGATGTGACGTGGTGATATGTTGCCATCACTGCACGCTGCATGGCTGTTAGGTCAGTTGAATTGTTTCTCAGGGCCCAACCATAATATCCTGTCAGCTTTTCAATGAGGGCTTTAGTCAGCTTCCCCTTCCCACTCAGTGGCTTATCACTTTTCTGCACAATGTTTCGAAGAGCACTTCCAATCCTTTTCTGAACATGGTTCAGACATTCTTCTTTTACAATTGGCACTAGCCCATACACATTCTCTTCTGTGAGGGCAGCGAAGGGTACGGCTGTCTCCGTCGGACACAAGAGTGGTGTACCGCAGGCCATGCTTGGATACAGACCGCCCAAAGAGAGTCAAGCCTGCCTCCACTTCCATGCTTTTCGATTTTGCGTCTGTGTTTTTCTGGCAAATGTGGTGCTTTTGCCAGCTTTCGTATGCTGCATCTCCAGGTTTGGGCCCTGTTTGGCATCCAAGGCAGTGGTTTGAAAGAACTACAGCATCCAAGATGAGACCTGTAACGAAGTCAATCACCGATCCCACTCCTATGTGTGATGTGTGACCCCGCTTATGCCATGTGCCATCGTACACTACGGTGATGTCCTTGCAGAAGCTGGGGTCCATTTCTTTATATGTTTTGATCACTGCTGTGGCAGAATCAGCATAAAACTTCTCCAAAGCGGTGGCCTCTGGCTTCCTGAACGTCTCTTTCAAGTGCTTTTGAAACGTCTTGTGGTGAAGACCTCTGTAAGAGACGTTCATAGCAGCCCAAAAGTCATTAAGAGCTGTTTGCCCCTTGCCTATTTGCTTTATAGCCATTATGGCGCGGACATTTACATCGAAGGCCTGCGTGTCCTTTTTGCGGGGTGATGTCCATAATTTATTGACGGTGCCACAAGAGGCGCACACGACTTCAAGTTTTGTTGCAAGTCCAAGCTTGGTGCTCTCTCGGACAGTCATAGCACCTTTCAAACATTCTTTGCACACTGTGCGGCTGAGCACGACATTAAAGATGTTCATTTGAACAAGCGAAAAATGTTCGCCCTCACTTGTCACTGCAGGTGCAAGAGCCGGCTGCATCAGTTGAAATTTCTTCTGCGTCGCCGGCGTAGACTCGAGTTCAGCGCGAACGGCGTCACGACGTTTCGCATTCGCATCGATTTCTTCCTTCGTTAGGAAACGCGTCCGCAGATGAAGCGACAGTCCACTCACGCTCGATGGTGGCACCGATTCAGACGAAGTGCTGGGTCCGGCGATATCAGAAGCACTCGGTGTCACACTGGATGGCATCGATTCGGAGCACGTGTCGAGCCCGGCGATCTCGGAAACACTCGGTGCATTTGCGGCTCCAGCCACACTCGATGTGTCGGATTCTCGACTGGCGACAGTCGACAACACAGTTTCGTCGCTGCAAGCGTCTACACAGTCGGCACCCGCAGCAGAATAGCGGAATTTCGATGATCGTACAGGCCGCATAGCGTGCCTCCGCGCACCGAACTTCCGCACTGACTTCGGCTTCGTTGCCGGCATCGCCCGCAACAACAAAGACGAAAGGCACAGAACTAGTGCAAAAAGAAAAAAAAAAACGAGAGAAAATGATCGAAAAGATAGCACAAGGCGAAGAGCGGCTCGTAAGCAGACGTCTGTCGAGGCGGACGGAGCAGAGAGCAACAACGAAGCGAGCGCGCTGGACGCGCCATCGAGAGGAGCGACCGCCCCCGCTGCTGCTCAGCTGCCAATGGCGGGCACGCTTTCTCCCGCAAGATATGAATGCGCATGCTGCTCTAGCCAATCAGCGCATCGCATCGCGGGAAAACGCCAATAGCGTCTCAACTGTGCTGTCGACGCCATTTTGCAAGGCGGCGAACGAGAGAGAAAGAATTCACGGTCAAAACAACACCAAGATGGCGTGGGACGACCGCATGGTCCGGGAATGGCGCGTGCGCGAAGTTTGGTTTGATTTCGGGATTTGCGCCTGTTTTGGACGCCGCGGCGGCCTCGAAAATAGTATTTTTTTTTTGCACTTTGCGGTTGAATTAGGTGCTGATAATTACAGAATAGGTAGTTTATGAGACATACAACCCAAAAATGTGGTTTTTCAAAAACCGACTTTTTCGCGATTTTTCGGTTTTCAAGGGCCGCGTCCCCCCTTAAAGCATAGGTTTTATGAAGCTGAGGCAAATAAATGCTCCTTCTTGTTCCTTTCCTCCCCATTATAAGCATACATTACTTCATTCAGCGTTTTCCGAAAAAGCAACATATTTGGGGTACTTGGCATGTTAACATTTGGTTTTGGGGGCACTCCTGATAAGTCAACACATTATTGTGGTCTCTTCGAGTTCGTCTTAAAGGGAGTCTACTGTATTTGTCACTCTTGCCGAAGTGCAAGTTGAGCTGTCACAGAAACACAGTCACAGTGCCCTGAAGAAACAGATTGATGATTTTTCTGAGCCGCACGGTGAATAATGTGACACTTTTTTTTTTGCCTGAATTAATTTTTTCAGACTGCCTGGTTTTCTGGATGGTGTGGCAGCTTGGGCTAGTTAGTATGGCATGACGATAGTTATAGCGCAAGAACAAAACGACGACACAGAGACAAGAAGGACTTTCGTGTCTTTCGTGGCCTTCTTGTCTCTGTGTCGTCGTTTTGTTCTCGGGCTATAACTATCGTCATTTCTGGATGGTGCCTTGGCTCCTTGAGGGTCGGAAAAATCAGTCGGGGACTTGAGGGCTTTGTTTAGGAAGCAGCAAACTTATTTTTGTACCTTTTCATTTCAGGAGGGGAACACAGCACTGCACTGGTCTGCCTACTCAGGCAATGTCAAGATTTCATGGATGTACTTGGAGCGTGGCTGTGATCCCAATGCCAGGAACGTGCGCGGTGACACTCCTTTGTTAGTATCTGTATTACTCGCATGCTGCGTTAAGCTGGGTCATGTGATGAAGTAATTTAGGAATTTGAATATTTGTATAATCGAGGAATTATGAATTAAATGCTCACATTGTTATCATAGTATCACATCATGATGTGTTAGCTTTGATAACTTATTGAAGCCTTAGTGTGGAGCAGGGCTAGTCTATGTATTTACAGTTAAACCCCTTTATATGAAACATGCTCCGAGCAGCAATTCTCGTTTTTATATGAGGTGCCTTTTATAAGCAGGGGACCTTGTATGCATTTTCATATCCTCCGTATGTTACTGTAGGCATACTGGTGTCTCTTATATCAGTGTCTCTTATAAAGGGGTTCGGCTGTATAAAAAATGCCCAGCCATTGTATAATAGGTGTGTTAGTAGACGAATACACTACTGCTCGCATTCAAAATGTGCAAAACCTGCCTTTGTTGACCACCTGCTGTGTCTTTAATCAAGCTTTGACAGAAAATTTCATATGCGAGATAATGAGCGAGATAGATTTATCTGGAGACATGCACAACATGTACGAAATATGAAGGGCAGATATATTCTTGAACATATTTAAAATCAATTTTGAAGTGCATGTCATGCGACTGAGTGAGATGTAGAGCAACGCCGACATCGACACGGTGGCAATGTCAACAAACCTATATCACAAGTTTGTGTTGGATGGTTGCTTGCGCTTGCGGTACCCATGATTTATTCCTCTTTGCCTGCAGCTTTGCTTGTGCTGTGGCGCCCACATCACAGTATTACGTGGTGACATGGTCAGGTGTGTTTGTTTACCTTGTTGCCAGAACTTTTTGGATCCAAAACTGTGACTAGGCGCTCTAAAAACGTATCTAAATAAAATAACAGTTCTGCACCCGTGCAAACGAGCTTTCCAGCCATGTTAATTGAGTCGTAAACTATCTACTGCTACAACAGGGGGGGGGGGGGGGTGGAAAAAGGTGCAAAATTTGTGTTGCTGCTCGTTTAATGCAGCTAACTTCCATTAATTTTACATTGAAGGGGCTGCCAAAACTGTTTGAATGAGTAAGACAACTGTGTTATTTGGCAGTATTACTTCCACTGATTTTAACATGTCCCCGAGGTGAACTTGCACCTATGATTTATTTGTCCAAAGTATAATAGAAATGTAAAAATGACATTGGACCACCGAAGTTAGGCAGAAATCAAACATGCACTTCATTTCAGGATAGGAATACAAAAGCTTGGTCCCATAGAAATGTATGGGTGCTGACCTAGACCTTCCGTAGAGACATAACTAACTGTAGTCAAATTAGAGGAAGCCTACTGTATCACTTCAAGCCTTTACTGCTTCTTTCACATTGTGTAATCGACCTAGAAGGAAGCCTATTCGGCACTTGAAGGTCAGGGGGAAATCAGGATCACATTAAACTGAATATGGTCATTGATAATGACCTAATGACACAGATGCACAGTTTTGTCAGATGTGCTTTAGTTTCCAGCATGTCACACTGCATGTTTGTTCTTTCTCTTTCAAGACACGTGGCTGCGAGGCAGGACAACTATGATGTGGTGTTGTAAGTATTTTATTGTCTGCTTGCTGTTATTATGGTTTGAATAGTCATACATGGAGATTTGCTATTTCAACTTCTCACATTCTACATATTTAGGCTGCTGATGAACAACAAGGCTCGGTGGGATATTGCAAACAAGCTTGGTCACACACCAATGGAAGTAAGTAAAACTACAGCAACTGCCGGGCCTGATTATTTTTTTTTTTTTTCAGTTGAGGTCTGCTGAATCAGTTTACATTAAAAGCCGTGTGTTATCAGTTGTTGCATGATGACACGTTTGTCTAACCACTCGGTACTATGCAATAAAATTTTTGCATCACAATATTTATTCAACCAGATGAGTTCTGTGTGATTATGGTAGGTGTATAGTATGTCATAGAAGAAAAATGAACCTTTCTCCACATTTTATAATGCTGTAGGGAAAGCGAGCCTAGTTTCCTTAGAAGGAACATTCTTGAAACTTGGACAGCCAGACTAAAAGTAATCATATCCCTGTTACGGGAATAATATAGTTATGTGATAGTTGTGCCGATTGGCCAAGCTGTACCAAGAGGTGAAACCTGCTACATCCATTCACATCTTTGGCAAAAATTTCATTATTTGTGCCAAGCACATGCCAAAAGTCATTTTTGCGTTCTCTCGGTGAGAAACAAGGCAGGCGCATGAAATTCCTACGTTACCCCTACAATTTCAAGTGGTCATCACAGTGGACAGGAAAATTCTATGTAGCAGTTCAAGTAGTTAGTTGCTGGGCACAAGCCTTGCAACTTGCAAGCCTTGTAAGCATTGCAACTAACTTGCTGCATTAGTTTTTTGTTTCGGTAGTCCACTGGACCTTACTGTGAGATAAGATTATTGAGCTCAATAAAATTGTTACTAACTGTTGCGGTTACAGTCAAAGAAAAGTATTAATGACCTAGTTTTTCTTGGACGACAGTCTTACTTGACTGACTTCATTAAACTATTGAACAGTAGGCTATTGGGAAACACGAATCTCTTGAATTGGAATTAACTGCTCAAACGGAGCAACTGCTTTAATAGAGATTGGTTTTGTACCTTAATGCTACACCCTGTTTATTCGGTAACGCAACTCGTGCTAAGTGGAACATTTTTTTTATTGTTTTTTCAAGTTCCATTTTAACGAGAGTCTACTGTAATGCACTACGTGCATGTAAAAAGCAACCATTGCCTTTAATGCTCTTTTATTTTATTTGTAGTGCTGTTTGTAGAGTTCATGCAGGGTGTCTACTTTAGACGCCGTACATGGGTAGACTTTATCAACAATACCATGTGCTTTACGGTGACTGTTACCCTGCTGAGAAGCATGGTGTCCTCATTTTTTCGTAGATCTCCGCTGGGTTCTTGCCCCGGCAGGTGTACATGTCAAGTCAGGTTAACTGTTTAACAAAAACTCCCTCCTTCTTCCCCTTTGCTGTAAGTTTAGTCGAGCTTATATTGAATAACAGAACAAAAGGACGGGGTTATTAAACCTTGTTTACTATAACAGCTTGTTAACTCGGACCTTAACGATACGGTACATAAAGCATGACTGCAGGACCTTTTGCCACACAATGAAGCCTAGGGTGTACTAAAGGTACAATTGTAACCACACTTTTTCTTTCAAGCGTGGATCACTTTAGGGGTTTAAGCTATTATATGCTGTCATCGCTTCGTATAGCTCAGGCAAAACCAGTTGTAGCTTAGCCATATGTAGCGTAATAAGCTCACGCCAAGGTGAAGCTTTTTTTTTCTCTTGTTTTTGGAGTGCCTTGATAATACCCAAGCCTCTATTTAATAAACCCCGATATAATGAATTAAGGATTATAAAGAAGGAAATGAAGAATATCTTTGTCGAACAGTGCAGCCAATATATGTCTATAACATATTCGTGGACATAATGAAGTATTTTCCTGGTGGGCGCGACTTTGTTATGAGGTTTGAGTGTATGAGTGCAGAGCACTTTAGGCGCCCAGGCTATCATATGCTGTCACCGCTTTGCATAATGCAAGCAAAATTATGTATAAGAATAGAAAAGAAAGAGAGCAAGTGAGAAATTGAAAGAGGAAAAGGAAGAGAGAAATATAAATAAAACTAAAAATATAAATATAAAGAGTGAAAAAAAGACAAAGAACAGGAAAAAAAGAAAGGGAGGAGGAAAGAAAGAGAAAACTGAAGAGAAACAAATGAGGCTGCCAAGCTCTGCACTTCCTTCAGGCTTGACACCACGATGCAAACCTGCCTTAATTTTTGTAAATCTGTCTTAATTTTTGGAGAGCAAATAGAGTGCATGGAAAATTAAGACAGCTTGTGCATCCAGTATTGTAACTAAAACATCAAGAGAAGCCAAGTCATTTGCAAATATCAAGTGAATTCCTTGGAAGTATTCGGTGGCTTGAGCTAGCTGTACTTAACAATTTGGGGATGTCTTCAGAAATGTGAAGAGGAGTGAATTTCAAGGGAAAAGTGGATTTCATGTTTAGGAGTACCTTTAGGGGAGATGCTACTCGAAGACACTTTTTTAAAAATATTCACCCTAGAGCAATAAAACTTGAGCTGTTTATGAAACTTTTTATGCTGATTTCAAATATATAATTAGTTTTCTTGCAAGTTGCACACTTTTACCTCTGCAGCAAGACAAAGTTTAAGCCTTAACCCTATTGCCCCCCCCTCTTTTCCTCCCTAAACTTCTGTAATTTTTTACTATTCATAGTTCATAATGTTCATAAAGTGTAGAATGCAAATACCTAATTAGGAAGCACTTACAAAATATGTAATACGCGTGAAAAATAAGACGTAAAAAGTCCACATTTCACCTACCCTAGTGAAGGTTTACATACAATTTTTTTATTATACAATAAAATATTGGAATTTAAACGAGATACTTGCATTTGTCATACTTTGAAAAATATGTGAGCAAAATTTCATGCATATCCGAGCACTAGAAGTGCCTGGAAAAGGAGGGGCACATTGTCCTTTTCCAGGCACTTCTAGTGCTCGGATATGCATGAAATTTTGCTCACATATTTTCAAAGTATGACAAATGCAAGTATCTCGTTAAATTCCAATATTTATTGTATAATAAAAAAATTGTTTCTAACTGTTGCGGTTACAGTCAAAGAAAAGTATTAATGACCTAGTTTTTCTTGGACGACAGTCTTACTTGACTGACTTCATTAAACTATTGAACAGTAGGCTATTGGTAAACACGAATCTCTTGAATTGAATTACTGCTCAAACGGAGCAACTGCCTTTAATAAGATTGGTTTCGTACCTTAATACTACAACCTTGTTTATTTCTGTAAACGCAACTCGTGCTAAGTGGAACATTTTTTTATTGTTTTTTCAAGTTCCATTTTACGAGAGTCTACTGTAATGCACTACGTGCATGTAAAAGCAACCATTCCTTTAATGCTCTTTTTATTTTATTTGTAGTGCTGTTTGGTATAGTTCATGCAGGGTGTCTACTTTAACGCCGTACAATGGGTAGACTTTATCAACAATACCATGTGCTTTACGGTGACTGTTACCCTGCTGAGAAAGCATGGTGTCTCATTTTTTCGGTATATCTCCGCTGGGTATCTTGACCCCGGCAGGTGTACATGTCAAGCAGGTTAACTGTTAACAAAAACTCCCCTCCTTCTTCCCCCTTTGCTGTAAGTTTAGTCGAGCTTATATTGAATAACAGGAACAAAGGACAGGTTATTAAACCTTGTTTGCTATTAACAGCTTGTTAACTCGGACCTTAACGATACTGTACATAAAGCATGACTGCAGACCCTTTTCCGCACAATGAAAGCCTAGGTTGTACTAAAGGTACAATTGTAACCACACTTTTTCTTTCAAGCGTGGATCACTTTAGGGGTTTAAGCTATTATATGCTGTCATCGCTTCGTATAGCTCAGGCAAAATCAGGTGTAGCTTAGCCATCTGTAGCGTAATGAGCTCACGCTCACGCCAAGGTGAAGCTTTTTTTTCTCTTGTTTTTGGAGTGCCTTGATGATAATACTCAAGCCTCTATATAATAAACCCTAATATAATGAATTAAGAATTATAAAGTGCTGCAAATATATGTCTATAACATATTTGTGGACATGATGAAGTATTTTCCTGGTGGGTGCGACTTTGTTATAATGAGGTTTGAGTGTATAAATGCAGATCACTTTAGGCGCCAGGCTATCGTATGCTGTCCTGCTTGGCATAATGCAAGGTAAATCTGTAGAAGAATAGAAAAGAAAGAGAACAAGTGAGACATTGAAAGAGAAAAAAGGAAGGGAGAAATATAAATAAAACAAAATATAAAATAAGGAGTGAAAAAAGACAAGAACAGAAAAAAAAAGAAAGGGAGGAGGAAAGAAAGAAAACTGAAGAGAAACAAATGAGGCGCCAAGCTCTGCACTTCCTTTAGGCTTGACACCACTATGCAAATCTGCCTTAATTTTTGCAAATCTGTCTTAATTTTTGGAGAGCAAATAGAGTGCATGGAAAATTAAGGCAGCTTGTGCATCCAGTATTGTAACTAAAACATCAAGAGAATCAAAGTCATTTGCAAACATGAAGTGAATTCTTCGGAAGTGTTAGGTGGCGTGAGCTAGCTGGACTTAACAAATTTGGGGATGTCTTCAGAAATGTGAAGGTCAGTGAATTTCAAGTGAAAAGTGGATTTCATATTTAGGAGTACTTTTAGGGGAGATGCTTCTTGAAGACACTTTTTTAAAAATATTCACCCTAGAGCAATAAAACTTGAGCTGTTTATGGAACTTTTTATGCTGATTTCAAATATATTAGTTTTCTTGCAAGTTGCACACTTTTACCTCTGCAGCAAGACAAAGTTTAAGCCTTTTTTCTCTTGTTTTTGGAGTGCCTTGATGATAATACTCAAGCCTCTATATAATAAACCCTAATATAATGAATTAAGAATTATAAAGTGCTGCAAATATATGTCTATAACATATTTGTGGACATGATGAAGTATTTTCCTGGTGGGTGCGACTTTGTTATAATGAGGTTTGAGTGTATAAATGCAGATCACTTTAGGCGCCCAGGCTATCGTATGCTGTCACTGCTTGGCATAATGCAAGGAAAATCATGTAGAAGAATAGAAAAGAAAGAGAACAAGTGAGAAATTGAAAGAGAAAAAGGAAGGGAGAAATATAAATAAAACAAAATATAAAAATAAGGAGTGAAAAAAGACAAAGAACAGAAAAAAAAAGAAAGGGAGGAGGAAAGAAAGAAAACTGAAGAGAAACAAATGAGGCTGCCAAGCTCTGCACTTCCTTTAGGCTTGACACCACTATGCAAATCTGCCTTAATTTTTGCAAATCTGTCTTAATTTTTGGAGAGCAAATAGAGTGCATGGAAAATTAAGGCAGCTTGTGCATCCAGTATTGTAACTAAAACATCAAGAGAATCAAAGTCATTTGCAAACATGAAGTGAATTCTTCGGAAGTGTTAGGTGGCGTGAGCTAGCTGGACTTAACAAATTTGGGGATGTCTTCAGAAATGTGAAGGTCAGTGAATTTCAAGTGAAAAGTGGATTTCATATTTAGGAGTACTTTTAGGGGAGATGCTTCTTGAAGACACTTTTTTAAAAATATTCACCCTAGAGCAATAAAACTTGAGCTGTTTATGGAACTTTTTATGCTGATTTCAAATATATTAGTTTTCTTGCAAGTTGCACACTTTTACCTCTGCAGCAAGACAAAGTTTAAGCCTTAACCCTATTGCCCCCCCCTCTTTTCCTCCCTAAACTTCTGTAATTTTTTACTATTCATAGTTCATAATGTTCATAAAGTGTAGAATGCAAATACCTAATTAGGAAGCACTTACAAAATATGTAATACGCGTGAAAAATAAGACGTAAAAAGTCCACATTTCACCTACCCTAGTGAAGGTTTACATACAATTTTTTATTATACAATAAAATATTGGAATTTAAACGAGATACTTGCATTTGTCATACTTTGAAAAATATGTGAGCAAAATTTCATGCACTGCTATACGAGAAAGAAAACTGTCCCTTGGTGCTTGGCAATGGTGAGGGGTGATTCAATAGGTTTTAGCGGTTGAACGGGAAAGAACACGAGGACAGAAAGGAATGGGCTGTGGTACAAATGGAAGCTGCTGCTGTACTTGTGTGCATGCAAAACTGCTGGAAATAACAACAAGCTCTTTCTTTTTTAGTGTTGCAAGGATGGCAAAGTCACAAGTTATACCTTGCTGAGCATCAACCAGAAGCTTGGACGGCTGGTCAAGAGCAAACTGCGTGTTGAACGTGTGCTTCACAGGTAAGTTGCGTTCGAACACAGTAAACATCTAGTATTGCCAGACTTAAATTACTGGCATATGAATTGCAGTCACTCTAACATAACTTATGAGTGGCCTTTGGCCACCCACACCGTCTGAAAATGTACAGTACGATCCACTGTTAGGGGAAACACACGAACGCGTGGCCGCGGACCGTGTGGCGCAAACTGGTGGCGAGATTGTAAATGTGGCGCACCTGCATAAAAGCACAAAGGCGGCGCTTGTCCGGTTTTGTTTGCTACTTTCCGCCCCTGCGCTTGCTGAGTGCTTCGTTTTCCGCCGATCGGTTCATGCCACCGCTGTTCTGCTGGCGCCCCATCAGGTAGTCAGCAGGCACACGAAAGGTCTAGCTTGTTTCTTGCTGTGGTATTTCACCAGATCTGAAACGATGCGATTCACACCCGCAGCAGTGGGGGTGATATACAGTGAAAAGCCATGCGATTATATTTAGAAGCATGTTAATAAATGCTTAATAATAATAAATGTTGGAGTTTAACATCGCATAACAGCAGTATGATTATAAGCGACGCAGTGGAAGGCTCCAGAAATTTCAGCCACCTGGTGTTTTTTAAATTGAAGTACACGGGCCTCAAATACTCCTGCCTCCATCGGTGATATGGCTGCCACGACCGGGATTTTGATCCCGTGACCTGCAGGTCAGCAGTGGAGCACCATAGCCCCTATATCATCGTGGCGAGCTAAGAAAACACTTGAGAATAAAATCTGTTTGAAGGATCAATACGGTGTGATTCCTAATGATGTTCTGGCTCTGGCTTGCTACATCCCGGCAAATATTAGTGTTAACGTTCTGAATCGTGTGAGTTTTTGATTATTGAAGCAACATCTTTATAGTATTTCAAATTGTCATAAGAAGTGCTGTGCTTCCCCATTGAGTCTGCGCATGAAAAATGAAATGTGTAAAACTATACTAAACACGAAAGAAAAAATTTATTTGTCATATTTTTGTAACAAAAGATTAACCAGGCCAATCTACGACCTCTAAACGTAAGAAAAATGAAAAGCTTCGTTCAGTATCGCGTGATGTCAGCTCCAGTGTCGAGTTTGACCTTCACCCTTGCAGGGTGAAGGTCGTACTCGTCACGGTTCTGGCACCAAATTGTGCCAGAACCGTGAATTTAATGGCAGCTATTACCGGTGGCTGCACTTCCACTACGTCTAAATGTGTGACGCATCATCTTGGAGTCACCGTAGTCACACCTACAGCCCAGGAATTCAGGTGATAAAACCAGTTGTGCATGTGCCCCAGTTAAGCCATGCACAGTGCCAATGCAACTACTGTTGTGCAAGTTTGCTCAACAGCAAGACACACTTTTCAAACTTGTGACCTCAAAAGAATTAGGTGGCAGTGATTATATAATAATGTCTAGTGTTAATATCCCAAAACCAAGATATGAATATGAGAGATGCTGTGGAGGGCTTTAAAAATTTCATTGCTCTGGTGTTCCGTCCACTGACATCGCACAGTATGCAGGCCTCTACCATTTCGCCTCCATCAAAATGCGACCGTCGTGGGCTCGATAGTAATGAGGCACTGGTGATTGATTTATGGGCTGTCGTCATATGCTCTGGAAGGGCTGCTGGTAGCTCATTTCAGGTGGAGCAAGGATATATATCGTAGTTACTCGCACAATTGTGTAGTTACCCCCCAGTCTGGACGTGAAAACTCCTATTGTTTTTATTTACACAGATAATAGGCACACCCTGAACTGCCATGGATGTGAATACCGTACAGCACTACCATGATCAGTAGTGCTGTACCGTTGAGCAAAAAGAAAAAGAAAAAGCTGCTGTTAAGGGGGCACAAGGGTCTTGGCGACGAAAAAAGGCCAAAAACTCTATTTTTCAGTTTGGTGGTTTTCGTTATCTTCATATCATCCTGCACCTGCCAGCAAAAAATTTACTCGAAAATGATGCGTCGTTGAGCCAAAAAATTTTGTTTTTATTCATCCCAGCACTTGGTTTCGCTTATGAAATCGCCGGAAACTGCCCCCTTTTGCGATGCTCGGATCCCGGCCATCTTAGTCTCGTTTGAAAGGCTTCTGTTGAGCTCGCTTTCCCGCCAGGAACGAACCGTCAATGCCAGTCTGCGCTACCAGGCAAAAACAAATGACAAAACCATGCAGTATCATTGGTCCATTGCAGTCACGTGAGTGAACAGCGGCTTTTGATTGGAGCGCGGGGACTGACAACACTGGTGATCACGCATGCGCGGCCGCAAACATGTGCATTGTCACCGCCATTTCGGAAGTTTTGTAGTTTTGCGATCGGAATTGAGATGCCGAACTGTGCTCGAAAGTTCCGCACACTTCACAAATTCGGCAAGCGACAGAAAAAATGTTCTGTGCAGCCCAAGGAGTCATCGCAGCCAGCGCAGGCTACGTCGGCAGAGCCGAGCGGGACAGTAGACCGGCAGTCGCCACGATGTAGCAGCCCGACAAAAAGGCAGCCTTCGATCGCTTCTTCTACCAGTGGCGACACTCGCTTGGAGTGCCATAAACCATTGCAACTGCCGACGAAGATATCTGCAGATTTGGCGGAAGAGCGCAACGGATTCTGCGACAAAGCGGCGTTGCTACACAAGCGATCCCGACGGGGACCACGGTGCCGTCGGAATCAGCTGATTGCGGTAATACTTCAATACATGGCGCCAGGAAACAACGCCGCCTCTTGTGATTAGGACAGCAGAGAATGCTGCTGCAGCAGGTCTCGCAGCCGGAGAAAGCATGGCCGCGACTGCGACCGTTGCCTGCAGTACTTCAAGTATGTGTAATCGAGCTGCGAAAATAGATGCGACATTTTTGACATCGGCTGTCCGAGAACTCATTGAGCGTCGCGCCCAGCAAAAAGCAGCGGAACTTTTCTCGGTCTCGGCAACTGATCGCAAAATGAGGGTTCTTGCGAGTCAGCACGGTACCGAAAGTTCGTTGGCCCCGAGATATAGTATGGTTGACCTCAACATGGTGAACAGCTTACTAATAGAACATTCGGCTTGCCGAGTGTGCCGTGGTCAGTTGACCATTGAACGTGACGCGCGTGAGTATGGTGTCGCTGTACTGCAGCGACGCTGTACTTCACTGCAGCAACTGCGGAGAAGTTAGTTCGAAATGGAGCTCGCGATGGGTTGGTGGCAGCAGTAACTGCAACCCGTTCGAAATCAATGTTCGCACGGCGCGTACGGTTCAGAGCACTGAGAATGGTCAGACAGCTCTGAACGACTTTTTTGCCGCTATCGGTGTTTCACATCGGGGCCTTCACACGAAAACGTACCAAGAGTACTTGAAAATGAAGCTTCAGCCAGCAGCAACAAGAGCTTGTGCCGAACATTTGTCTAAGTGTGCCACAGTGGTAAAGTGCCTCTACAAGGACCTCAATTTTGGCAAACCCGGAAATATTGCCGTCTCTTTTGATAGAAGCTGGCACGCAAGAGGACACACCTCTCACATTGGAATAGCCACTGTGGTAGAAGTTTTTTCAGGTTATGTGCTAGACTATGTTGTGCTTTCTAATTTTGCCTCGGCTGTAAATGTGGTTCAAAACCTGAGAGCCCAGAATACTCTGAATGAAAAGCCAAATATTCATGCCAGAAAAATACCTCATGCAAGGCTGGCCAAATGGAAGTAGAGGCAGCAATGATTTTATTTCAGCACTCCCTTTCACTTCATGGCCTCAGGTGCACAATGCTTTGTGATGGTGACAGCCGGTCGTACAGTGCTTTCAAAGAACCTAAGGTGTATAGCTTCATAAATGTTGAAAAAAAGAAGACTGCTCGAACCAAGCGCATGGAGACTGCGCTTCAGAACCTCGTGCAGAAGCACAAAGGGGACAGCAGCAAGCGCATCAGTGGCAAGGGTCGCTTCACAGGTGACCTCATCATAAAATTGATGAGTTATTACGGCTGGGCTTTGAAATCTCATTCTGGGAATGTAGATGAGATGTACAAGGCTGTGTGGGCTACGTATCATCATGTGACATCCACTGACGAAAAATCAAACCACACCTTTTGTCCCCACGGCCCCGAGTCTTGGTGTAAGCATAATGCAGCCATGGCAAGGAATGAGCCTATTCCTAAAAGCAAGTACAATTCGCCAGAGTCTGTGAGCAATGCACTGCGTCCTATTCATGAACGCTTGTCCGACAAGAAGCTTCTGCAGAGATGCACCAGAGGAAAGACGCAAAATGCGAATGAGGCCTTGCATTCGGTCATTTGGAGCCTCTCACCGAAGGACAAAAACGCGTCATTGTTTGCTGTTGAGACTGCCATGGCAGATGCTGTTATGCGTTTCAACTTAGGGAACAAGGAATCTAGTTTGCTTATTTTGCGTGAACCGCAGCTAGCTCAAACATGCACAGGTAACCAGCGGGCAGTCGAGAGAGACTATCGCCGTGCTGTCGGCTCGGAGAGGAAACGTGCATCTTCAGCGGCGTTCCAGGCAGCCGCAAAGAAGAAGCACAAGCAAAAGCCTGCTTCAGGCTACTCCGCAGGGGCTTTCTGTGTGATTGTGAATACAAGGGCTGTGGCTTTCATGCATAAAGTTTTTATTTTCACAACTTTTTCAGTTTTTTCGTTTTTCTCAAATACAGATTTTTGCATGTTTTGAATTTTGGGATGAGCACTGTGTGCTAATACTGATTCGAGTTTTATGATCTTTTTTTTTTGTTTGTTTGAATGGTAGGGTATTGAAGTGTGCAAGAAAACCTTGGTAAAATGCTTAAGGAAATTGTAAAATTTAAAAATTTTCCAGAAATCACCGGTGAAAATTCAGAGTAAAGAGACTGCGACATAAAAACTTCATAATTTTAAGTAAAATTTAGATACTAGCATGAAATTGCATATTTGCACTCTTTGAATATTCAGCAATATACAGGTTCAATTATAGCTCTTGATGCATTACTTTTTATGCAAGTCACATCCCAAATTTATAAAATAAAAATAGTTGTTTTTTTTATTGATGTAAAGAAA